ATCTCTGTTACTCACTCTCGGGTATTCACCGGCAGCAGTACAAGTACACACTGGTCGAGTCCACTTGTATGAAAAAGGGGTGAACCCCTTAACACTTCTAAAGTCTACTTCAATTGTATACTTCTAAAATCTCTGCCTCAACTGTAGAATTTTATTTACTAATTATTCAGTGCTTTTTATTTATTACTTAATAGGGTTAGATAGATTTGCCTACTGTAGGGTTGACACTCCTACTCATCTTTATAAGGGTGGGGTTTTCAGTTTAAAGTCTTTTCATTATCTTTCACATCCAGTAGCTTATTGCGTCTTAGTGGCATCATCACCTTGCTCGGGGTGTAATGATTAAAAAATAGAAATAAGGAATTCTGGAAATTTTTGTAAACAATAGTATTTTTTTAAAAATCTATATTGTTAAAATTAAACAGTACCTAAATGACCTCTTCCTGTCTCACATCAGCATGGCTAATGCTAACCTCCAGAAGAACGACGTGTTGCCTCTTCTCTAGCTAAAAAATGTTAAGATTGTATTGAATCAATTTCTAGGTCTGCTGCATGGGATATTGATACTCTGTGTGGTGCTAGACAATCTCACTCGGCTGAATTAGTCTTAGAATTGTATATGTCTGTTACTCGTCCATGTATTGAATATTGCTGCCGCATCTGGTCTTCTGATTCTGCTATATGTTAAAGATTCTTGAAAAAATACAAAGAATAATTTGCAATGTTATTAGTCCTGACCTGGCATCTCGCCATCAGTCACTTTACCATCGCCCTAACGTAGCTTCTCTATGACTTTTCTATAAACGCTTTCGTGATAAATGCCCTGATAGGCTTTAATCTATGGTGCATAGACTTTATGAATATAAGCGCAGTACTGGATTGGCAGGAAGGTCTCATCAATTTACACCTAGATGTAATCGTAAATTCTGTGCAATTTTCTCTCAGTTATCGCTTGTGGAGCTCTCTTCTGGCTTCATGCTTTCCAGCCGGATTTGATCTTCAATAAATTTAAATGCAATGTCAATCGCTATCTACTGTCTTGCTTCATCTTCTATTCTCCTCCCTATTTAATGTTCCGACCCCCCCTTTTTTCTTGTTTTTCCTCACTCAACAGCAAGCCCTTGTATCTTAGTGTCTTCACTGCCGTGGATGAGGTGATCTGATGAAAAAATGATTGGAATCTTTACTTTTTATACTTAAATAGTAAAACGCTAATTCGACCATATTGACAGATCTGTCAACACAACATTATTGTCTTTATTTAAATATCTTTCAAAAATAAAATATTATTTTCTGAAATGTTCTTTGAGTAGAATTCACTGATTGAAAGTTTAATTGATATAAACTTTCATTCTTTCTTGAACTTTAATTATTGTTTTAATTCCGAGCTAATAGTCAATGTTAAATCCGACGTCTTGCATGGACGTCTATATTTACAAACATTAACAAACAAAAAATCAAACTCTGGCTCGTTGAATTGAAACTGAGCTTTTACATTTATTGTTAGCAAATACAGTTTTAATTTACTAACAATATCACTAGACCGGTACAAATTAATACAGAAAGTTAAAAGATTTAAAAGTTTATAACTTATTCTGATTAAAATGAAGAAAAAAAATTCTTGCAAACTATTATTATTTATTTATCCATAATTTAATTCAATTAAAGATTTTCTAATTACATCATGTCTTAGTGTTATGGGAACTTACCCATAATAATAATGGACTATTCCTGACATTATAAATACTGCACCTCTCAAGAGGTATGAGGATATTGTAAGACTAGGAGAGATAATTGAGAGCATATTGTAAGGACATTGGGATAGTGATACTGGTCGAGACAACATAATTCACTCTAACCAAATCTGATAGTCATTACTAATACTTCTACTTCTTTGTATTATATTTCTGTTGTAATATATCTTTGTATTCCATACCTGTGTTCGTGTTATTCTTTCATTGGTTCTAACCTTGGACCTTCACCGTGGTACAGCAAGGAACATGGACCATAACAAGTGGCGACGAGGATGAGATAATTGAGAGCATATTGTAAGGACATTGGAATAGTGATACTTGTCGAGACAACATAATTCACTCTAACCAAATCTGATAGTCATTACTAATACTTCTACTTCTTTGTATTATATTTCTGTTAATATAATTATATATTCTTTTTTGTATTCCATACCTGTGTTCGTGTTATTCATTTTCATTGGTTCTAACCTTGACCATTCACCGTTTTACAAAGGTACTTGGATTTAACAATTAGTTCTATGACATTTTTCTATTTTATAATTAAAATTTTGTATTTGGTGGTCTTATTTGACAAAAAAAAAAAAAAATCAAATTATTTAGATTCTCCGAGGACTTGTTCTTATAATAAATATATAGATTAAGTAATACGAAAGAGAATTTCTCGAAATTCTATAAAATGAAATGAGTAGGAGCTAAGAGATGTAAAAAAAAAATGTTTACCGTGATTTTCTGATAAAGACACGTTTCAAAAATGATTTCATTCATTTGTGAAGAAGTCCGGAAAGTTTCATATTAAAATCTGACAAATCTGATTTTTTCAAGGTTTTAAAAATCAAAGAATTGAATTCCCTTTATCTATCTTTCTTTCTTTCTTTCTTATTTGGATAGTTAATCTCTTTCTTTCTTTCTTTCTTTCTTTCGTTCTTTCTTATTTAGATAGTTAATCGCTTTCTTTCTTTCTTTCTTTCTTTCTTTCTTTCTTTCTTTCTTTTCTTATTTAGATAGTTAATCTCTTTATTTGTTTATTTATTTATTTTCTTATTTGGATAGTTAATCTCTTTCTTTCTTTCTTTCTTTTCTTATTTAGATAGTTAATCTCTTTATTTATTTATTTCTTTTCTTATTTAGATAGTTAATCTCTTTCTTTCTTTCTTTCTTTTTTTATTTGGATAGTTAATCGCTTTATTTCTTTCTTTTCTTATTTAGATAGTTAATCTCTTTATTTGTTTATTTATTTATTTATTTATTTATTTTCTTATTTGTTATTGTTTATTTTTCCTTTCTTCTTCAAGCTAATTTTCCTGTTTCTTTCTTCGTTCTTTCTTTTCCTGGCAAATTTTCTTCAGTTTCTCTCTTTCTTCATCAGGATAATCGTTCTTTGTTTTGTTTGTTTGTTTGTTTGTTTGTTTGTTTCTTTCTTTGTTTCTTTCTTAATTATTCCAAAGTTTCTTTCTTCTTCCTTTCTTCATTTAAAGGAATAAAAATCTTCCGGCTTAATAAATAATATTTCCTTTACCGTATATGGTAACGCGCAAGGCAAATTTTCAAGTTAAAATGTTGGTTTCAGGATATGTTTGACGTACAGGACGACCCCATCAGTCGTATTTCAAAATGTATTGTAGTGAAAATACTAAATAAAATCAGGAAGCATATACTTTCTTTTCAATCAAATTCTAATGAAAAACAAATGGTGAGATATTGTCAAAAAAACTACCACAATCGGCAATAACTCATCAGTGGCTACTTCGTTCTTGGTGGAGTAACGGATAGCGGCTTGGATTGAGGAATCGGAGAGCCGAGTTCGAATTCCATTCGAATCCATTACATTAATTTACGTGCTAATAACATTGGGAAAGATAAGAATCCCTTTTTCTTCCTCCAGCTTTGGGTAAATAGCTGGATAGAGCGGGTTCTATAGCCTTGGATGGTAACTGGTCTATCGCTGAAAGAGATGACAACCTACTGTGGGAAAAAAAAATCTGCCTCGTCAGTCATGTATTGAAAGATACATGATCGCTTACGTGTGTATCACGCATGCCACATAACTGACTGAGTACGGTTACCTGAATGTGTGCAATAATACCACATACCATATAAATCACTTCTATTACACTACGCTTTTGTTCTGTTATTAGGCTGGTGCAAAAATAATGTCGTTTTTTGACGTTTAACTTCAAAAGATCATAACTCCTTTCATAATAAACTTTATTAATCGAGATAAGAACCATTAGAATCGACACATTTTTGACAACGAGAAACAAGTTTATTTATCCCATTAGCATAGAAATCCGGAGTTCTGGAAGCGATGAAGTCATTGAAGGCCGATTCTCCATCATCTCGGCTTTTGAAGCATTTTTCGCGCAGGAAGTTGTCGAGATGCTTGAAAAAGTGATAATCGGTGGGCGAGAGGTCCGGTGAATATGGCGAATGAGGCAGAGTCTCGTAGCCCAATTCGTTCAGCTTCTGCAGGGTCAGTTGAGCAACATGCGGGCGAGCGTTGTCATGGAGGAGAATTGGTCCCTTCATATTGACCAATCTCGGGTACATACGTTGGAGCTTCTGGTGCATTTCGTCAATTTGTCGGCAGTACTTCTCCGCCGTAATCGTTTCGCCCGGATTCAAGAAGCTGTGATGGATGAGACCGGCCGCAGACCACCAATCAGTCACCATAACCTTTTTTGGTGCAATTTCGGCTTCGGGAAGTGTTGTGGAGCTTCTCCAGCATCCAACTACTGTGCCGAACGTCGGTTGTCGTAGAGGATCCACTTCTCATCACACGTCACAATACGCTCGAGAAATGGGTCGTTTTTGTTGCACAGAAAAGCGTAGAAGACACCTCAAAACGACGATTTTTTTGATTATCGTTCAATTCATGCGGCACCCATTTATCCAACTTTTTTGACTTCCCTATTTGCTTTAAATGGCGAACGACTGTTGAGTGGTCGACCTCGAGTTCAACAGCAACTTCACGTGTGGTTTTGCAAGGATCGGCTTCAATTAAGGCTTTCAAATGTTCGTTATCAACCGCAGTCGGCCGGCCGCGACCGTCTTCATCTTCGAGGCTCTCGTCACCATTGCGAAATTTCTTGACCATCGTTGTGCCACACATTCGTTAGTGGTTCCTGGGCCAAACGCATCATTGATATCACGAGCTGTCTCGGCAGCTTTTCAGGCCTAGTTTGAAGTGGAACAAGAAAATCGTGCGGATTTGAATTTTGTCCATGCTGTGCAAAAGCCTGCAAAAAA